TTTTTATCTTTTCCTATTATGTTAGAATTCTGTTTAGAATTTTTTTTTTTTTTTGGTTATGTTTTTTTTTTCTTTTTTTTTTGTTTTTTCTTTCTTTTTCTAGATATAGTTTTTTTTTTTTTGTAAATGTGGCATATATATTTTTTTTATAAAAAAGTAAGAGATTAACTATTTTGCCCAGATCTAGATAAAAAAAGTTTTAAAAAAGAAATAGGTAGTCTTGATAAGCTAGTAGAAACCTTCTAGTAAAGTTTTATTTTGCTTCAAATGCAGAAGTAAATATTACGAAGAAGAATTCTGCCTATAGCAGATCGCACATGGGTAATTTGAACTTTGGTTACAAAGAGCCAGGTAAGCTAATATTTGTAATTTAAACATCATAAAAACTTGATCTTTAGAGACTTGTTTTTTAAAAATTTGTAATATTTCTTAGTATAATATTTTCAAGCCTAATAAAGTAAAAGCAAGATTGCCGAATTGTTTCAAAAAAAAAAAAAAATTTATATAAAATAGTATATACTGTATATTATAGTTGACTCTTTTAAAACTGATTTTATTAAAACTAATAATTTGTCAAAACTAATAAAAAATTACTATTCTAGTTATATAAATCTGTTTTCAAATCCAATAATCTTAAATCTAATATAAAATCTATCTACTATGCATACTAATTCTGAGAAGATTAACTGTATAGTATATTTTTATTAAAACAAATAATATTTATATTTACAATATATAGTCGTTCTCCTATACAATCACACAGTTGGGTACATAGTAACTTTTTTAAAAAATGTATTTATAGAGGGGTTGTGCTTATATAGAGGTTTTTTTTTTATAAATTAAATTCTAGTTTGGCCAAAATAAAAATGTAATTATATATGATGTGATTATATGGGAGGTGACTATATGGAGGGATGGCTATATAAATTAAATAAAAATACTATAAGAGTTAGGGTCTCATAGCCTAGTAGTCTGGGCATCTAACTTTTCACAAACAAGGTCAATGGTTCGATTATAGCTAGTGATAATTAATTTAATTAATTATCTTTGTAACTTTCAGGAGCTTTCAAATGCAAAACCCTGTAGCGATAAGACTATATAATATATATATTTGGCTAATAAAAAATTCTTGAAAAGAGCCCCGAGCTATGAAGAACTGCATGTGATATGGGTCACAGAAGGTAATATTGCAGAAGGCTGTGCGTGTGAATCCATGATTAGCAAGATAGCACCAACAACCCTAAGGCAGCATTGGGATTTTGATTGGAAGGATGGCTGAATATAATATATCTAGAAATGGTAAGAAAAGCAGTGAACATAGTAAGAGGCTGTGGTAAGAGAATGGCTTTGCTAAATATAGAACACCTCTGGTGCAAGAAAACCGGCTAAAAGAAACTCTAAAAAGTATGGAAGCAAGCAATCTGGTGGTATGAAAATAAAAACAAGCTAAAAAGTAATACAGTCAAACCTCCATAAATGCAACCTCCATAAATGCAATACCTCTCTAAATGCACGTTTCTGGCCTGGCTGTAAAAAATCATTAGTGCTAAATGTACATTTATTCAAAAGATTTTTTATATCATACTAACCTTCCTAAATGCACATAGCCAATCAGAATTCAGTATTCAAGTTGTGTTACACAAGCCTGCAGATCAAATATTAAAAGCTGCAATTTGATTGGCTTTCTCTAAAAGCAAACCTCCCTAAATGCATGATTGAAACTAGTTTGTACATGTTGTATTTATGGAGGTTTGATTGTAGTCGCATAACCTATATAGGAGTCTATAATAAAACACAGCAAAGGCATAGGTTCCAGGTTACTAGATTGTAACAGTAATTGTGACAGATTAAAATGAAATCAGATTAAAATGAAATTTTAATATTTTTTAGAGATGATTTAAAAAATTTTGGTAATATTTTTTAGGGTTAGAGTTGGAGTTAGGGTTAGGGTTTAGTGGTAGATTTATTAAAAAAAGAGTATAAGTGGGTTTTATAAGCTTTAAAGGGGAGCAAGAGATCATTTTAATCTGTGACAGTAATTAAATGAGGTACTTAACTTCCGTCTGAAGAATCCAGACCTCTGTATTATTATACTAATAGAGAGTACTATAGAAGATCAGTAGCCTAATTTGGTAGTATATGACGTTAATACTTGATGATTGTGAAATAACATCCTAGTTGCAATGGCGGGTTCTGTACCTAGTTTGAGATATGAACTAGATCTTAAAGTAACAACATCCCAAGGACACCAAACTGAAAGCAACAAGAGCACTCACTTGAGAGACACCAATTTGGAAGTAGTACAAGAAACGAATTAGAAGTAATGTGATAAGTAATGAGGGGTAGAAGTTAGTTGATAAATGTTATACAGTAGTATATAAGCAGGATATATATAATAATATAGATTTGAGAACTATCTGGTGATTTAGTAAATGGTTTGGTCAAAAGGAGCGATTACTAAGGAGGTAAAATCCCATATAGCAGGTTACATATAGGTACTAAGTTAGTAAATAGGTGAGTTTTATCTATGATAAATTAGATAGTTGTAAATATATATATATATATTTGTAACTATAATACCTTAGAGTACTAATAAACAGTAAAAGCAAGATTGCCGATACTATAATCACTTGTATAAATTACTCAATAAAGATATGAGCAAGGCCTCACCTTAACAACAAAAAAAAAAAATTAAATAAAAATACTTTACACTTATTCAAATCTTTAATTTAAAAATTTTGTATAATATATAAAACCTGAAAATTTTAAAAATATAATAAAATATATACAGTATTTACAGTATAGTTAGGGTTGGTTAATGGTCAAGCTTGACTAGACCAGTTTGACCAATTTGACCAGTTGGTCAAAGGGTTTAGTATTGATCAAATTAACCAAAGGATATTTATATACATATATATATATATATATATATATTATATATATATTTATTTGTATATATACTAAATTTATTTATTTAATAAACTAGACCATTTGACCAATGAATTTTTGGTCGACTAGTAATTTGACCAACCCTAAGTATAATAGATGCAAAACCACCATAGATGCATTTTATAAAAATCGCAAAAATTTAAAAAATAAACTTTAAACTAAATTTAGAAACTTGACTAAAGCTTCTTAAATTTTAAAAATAATATCTGTATAAAAAGCTTTAGTTATATTGTCTATATAGCATAGATACCCTATACTACGTATAAAAATTATACGTACTTTTACTAAACATCAGAAACCCGTAAAAATTTCTATTTTATTTAGAAAAGTTTTCTAGATTATAAGTCTGTTGTTAATTAATCTCGAACCTAGAATTCCCAACTGAAGATATAGGCTAGATGGGACGAATTTTGATAAAAAAAAAAAAATAAGGATAATAGTAATAAGGCCATATAAACTTAATAAATTGGTTCTCATAACCGGCCGGGTTAAATTTTACAAAACTTGAAAAAATTTTAAGTATATTTACTACCCGGGTGAGTTTTTCAAAAAAAACTATAAAAAATTTTAATGTTTTTATATATGTTTTATATATATAATTTTTTGAAAATAAAATTAAAAGCCGGGTTGCCGGGCCAATTTTAAAATTTTTATGTTATGAGAACCAATTTATTAACCTAATATATAATTAATTTAATAAAAATTTTTTTTATTAATTCTATAATTTTATTGAATTAAAATGTAAAAATTTAATTTTTTTGTGTATAATTATACTATATATATATATATTTTTTTTTTATTTGGTTTTTTTTTTATCAAATTCGTCCCATCTAGCCCACATTATAATAACTATAGTAAAAAAAAAAATTTGTTGCCAAAAAATCGGCAACTACGTACTTTTTTTTTTTATTACATACGTACAGTACGTACGTAGTAGATATTATATATAAATTCATATACGGTTTCACATACGGTACTTGTAACATGTGTATTTATAACTGTTTACATTTAACTAGCTTAGGTTAGAAGTGTTACCTTTCACACTATGGTTGTAACGTTTATACGCCACTACCGTATGTTACTTTGATGCAGTAAGCTCTCATAAGACTTATAATTTAAAAAATATATTGGTTATTTTTGTTTAGAGAATGCATAAAATTTTTATTAATTTTTATTATTATCACAATCGATACATATATATATTATACAATAAATATAATAAATATTAAAATATATATATTAAAACATAATAATAATGTATTTTTTTTTAATTTGTAAATTAAATTTGTCGTTAATCTATATATCTTACAATTTTATATTTTAGAAATTTATAATCTATATTAAACTACAGATAGTTTTTTTTTAAATATATATATATTGATACTTTTAAATTCTCATATTAGCTTTTTTTGTTCTTTTTTGTTTTTATTGATGACAACTAAGCCATACAAAATTATGTTAAATCATAGAAGCCATACAAATCTATAGATATAATCTATGGTATATTCAGGCCATAGTAGATTTTTTTTTTTTAAAAGAATAAAAATGTTCAGATTCGTCAATTGTACCGTAAAAAAAAAATCACTAAAGAAAAAAGAGTGTAAAAACTATTGGTACAAACATATGGAGATGAAAGTTTTTTTTTTTTTTGAACGCAAGACAGACCGCTAGCTGTTTACAGGTAACACCTTGAATTCCAGAGGCTTGATCTGCTTTTTTGTTACTTGACGTCTACAAAGCGCACACATTTTTTGTGTCTTTACTGCTGTTGTTATGCATTCAAAACAGAATATATGACCGCAAGGGGTGAATGAAACATCCTTTGGATGATCAAGACAAATTGAACATTTAAGTAGAAGCCCTTTCTGTGATGACGAAGCCGTAGATGATGGAATAGTTTCTGTTGATGAATCATCATCATCGATCACGATTACTTCCGAGTTCAAGTGGACATTTGGAGATGAGGTAAGGTCGATTACAAAGTTTTCGGAATTTGAAGATGTAAGGTCGACTACTTCAATATCGTCGTCCGTTTCAGATGCTCTTAACCGACCTATAGTACCATAGTTTTCAAGATCGATGGGTAGTACTGAACGGATAGGAGGTAAAGTTATTCCACCATGTGCAGAGTTTTCGTGCGGCAAACAAATAGGACGCAAAGTTACTCCACCAGCGTTGTGTCCATCTGGGAATAATTGCACAGGCGTAGAAAAGGATGTGTCATTAAAGTTGTTTAGATTTTCCGACCGTTGAATGGAAGATGAATTAATGTTTCTGTGAGGTGGAGGAAGAAGGTATAATGGATAATTTCGAGCTCTTGTATCAGGTATTGGATGCTCTACTAATTAAAATTTCAATTTAATTTAATTATGTATTGACAGTTTCACAACCGTATTGAGTCAAAAAGTACCTTCTTCACTTTTAATCATAATATCCGAACTTCTCATTCTTCGTTTATTTGATCTTATTGACGAACTTAACAAGCTGCTTGAAGATTCTTGTCCTTTATTTTTACATATTTATAAAGCAGAAGACGATAAATCTTTCAGATAGTTGATGAAAAATACTATGGTAATATAAAATTCAAATAATTTATAACGCTCTTGTTCACACTGAAAAGAACAACAATCAAAGATAAACGTATAATATTTTATCTGTTGGTTGTTTGCTAATAATTAGTGAAAAATGTGAACAAAGGAAACTTAATTTTTATCGCCCTTACCATTCATACCAGCAGATTCATGATTTCTTTTTAAACTTCTAGTCATCGTGTGTCGATTTACACCATATTCCATGAAGCTAAAAAATGAAAAAAGTGGACAAATTAACGATAACCTAAATAATTGTTTATTATGAAACAAATTGCGTACCCTTGAACTTATAAGACTCCTAAAGGTTTATTTAATATATATAGCAAATTTTCTACCAAGTGTGAATAAGTGGTTGACCCAAAAAAAATGTATTGAGCTTTGGATGTCAAAGTACAGCAAAGAGAGAAAGAAAATTATGGAAAAAAGACGATTTTGTAATCTTTTTATTGAGTTTGTTTAGATAAGGTGACACGAAAATTTTGTAATACATCTTGTTTATATGACCTCCGTTTCTCATTGAATTTGATTGGCTATAAATATCTGATTAGATATTTTTTTTTATTATTTACAATAGCAAAAATGCCCAAAGAAAAAAAGGAAACGAAAGTAAAGAAAGAGAAAAAGGAAAAAAAGGAGAAAAAGTCTCATAAGGAGAAGCGTGAGAAGGAGCGTTCGAAGAATAAAGAATTAACCCAAGAAGCTGGAATGATAGTTGCAAAATCGGCTGGTAAAACGGTCGAAGAAACAGTTACAGAAAAAGTTCCAAAGAAAGGTTTAAAAAAAGTTACGGAGACATCTGCAGAGACACAGAAAGATATTTCTATGGTAGTACATTATGATCTGAGTGCTTTGGTACCATTTGCTTCACCTTTGGCCACTGAAGAATTTACCCTAGAATTGATGCAAATTGTGAGGAAAGGTATTAATGAATAAAAATTGTTACGAACCATTGGAGTGAATTTTTTCCTAAAAAGATTGATTCAACAGAATATTTAATGTATCATGGCCAGCTTCAAGAAAAAGACATTGTAGACGCGGTGTCAAGGAAGTAGTCAAGGCTCTAAAAAAAGGACATAAAGGGTAAATAACAATTTATTGTAAGTCTGGACGAAGGTTTCGTCTTAATAATGGTTCTATGTCAATTCTAATTACATTTAAACGTATTGACATTTATATACTTACTTTGAAATATCTAGTCTTGTCGTGATGGCTGGAGATATTTCTCCTATAGATATAATCACTCACATTCCAATACTATGCGAGGATTCTAGCGTTCCTTACATTTACATTCCCTCGAGGGCAGACCTTGGATTTGCCTGCGCTACAAAGCGTCCTACAAGTGTAGTGATGATTGTTCCCGATCAGAAGGTTGAAGATGCTTTTGATTATAAAGAGCATTATATCACCTGTTACAATAAAGTTAAAGAATTGGTAAATAGGTTTTTCTTATGTGTAATTGTTGTAGCCTTTTATTGATTAGCTGTGTATTGGTTTTTTAATTTAGGAATAAATGATATAGAAATTTAAATTTCAATCTTCATTAAAATAAAATAGCCAATGAATTAATTTTAATTCATAATGGAAAACGACGTTGTTGTTAATGTTGACTTTGTAGTTTATTTTTTCACATACGTATAATTATAAATAGTCTCATTTTATGAGGATATAAGTGATTATGATAAATTTACACAATTAACTATACAACTATATAGTCATTTTGAAGATTTGTTAAAAAAAATTTTCTCGTTTGTAAATAGTAATGTAAGATAAATTATCATAACTTGCTTCGTCTAGGAGCAAGTCTATCATACACATTTGAATATAAATAATCTTTAGGTGTATATACATGAGTTGTTAAATTTTTGATATCGATCATGTCAGGACTGATATCTGCAAGCGTATTGGCACCTAACAATCGCATAACCATCTCCACTTCGTCTTTTAATAATTGTAAAGCACGTTCAACACCAGCTTGTCCATATGAAGACATGGCATAAAGTAGTGGTCTTCCAATTCCAACAGCTTTTGCTCCTAAAGCAATTGCTTTAATAATGTCAGTTCCACGACGGATGCCTCCATCTACGTATATTTCGACCTTATTAAATAAACCTTGTTTCTTTAAACCTTCGACAACTTCAGGAAGAACTTCTATACCAGAGCGAGCAAATTCCAATTGACGACCTCCGTGATTCGAGATAACTATACCGTCACATCCGTACTTTACCGCAAGTACTGCATCCTCGAGAGTCTGGATGCCTTTGAGAATAATAGGCATAGATGTAATGGATCTGAACCATTTTAAATCATTCCAATTTAAGCCTGTATCAATAAAGGAAGAGATAGCTCGTGCAGCACCCTGATCACGAGTTAAATCCTTTTCGTCCTGAACATCTGGTGCCGCGTTAACGAATTTCATACGCATATCCTTTTCACGGCGACCCAATTGCGGCGCATCTACAGTAATGAAAAGTGCTCTGCAACCTTTCGCCTCAGCATTTTGAACAACTCTCTGTGTTATATCTCTGTTCCTATTCACATATAATTGTAAAAATAGAACTTGTCCTTTTCCACAAGCATTTGCAACTTCCTCCATTGAGCATGATGAAAGAGTAGGTACCATTTGAATAATTTTGTGTGAATATGCGGCTCGAGTCAGAACAACCTCACCTTCAGGATGTCCAAGTTTGCCCAATGCAGTAGCCGTTATATATAACGGAAAAGAAGAATAATGCCCTAGAATTTTTGTACTCATATTTACATGAGTTACATCTCTCATGACTCGAGGACGAAACCAAATACGATGAAAAGCGTTATGATTTTCTCGAAGAGTGATTTCATCATCTGCGCCAGAGCTATAATATGCCCATGCTTCAGCAGTCATAACTTGAGAAGCTACAGCTTCGAAATCAAATAAATTTAGCATTTCACTTAAAGCTGGTTTGTTTTTGATCAATTCACGACGCCGCTTTTCCTCCTCAGTTACCACTTTAGCAACTTTAGCGGGTTTATCCATCGTAGCTGGGTCAACTTCACCGAGGCAAGCCTCAGGAGACAAGTGCATTTTAATTATATCGCGTGGATGGATCGGATCGAAGGTAGCCGTCGCGTCCTTACCAGCCTGATCAAGGATCACTTTCACGCCACCAGGATGTTCCGGAAGAAAATTTGTCACATCGTATACTTTTCCATGTATAATTATCCAACAATCCTGGCGCGTATTATGTTTAGCAACTTCTTTAGCTGATATTAGAGTCATATTATTCGGCGACTGTCATTGGAGCGACGTTATAATAAAACTTTACATTACTCTTTTAATACAGGTGAGACCGTCCCAAATTAGGAAATAATCGGAAAGATCGTTACACAATTCATTGTAAATCTTTTTATACAGT